ATTTCAGATTCACAACGGTTGAACTAGGAAGTTTTCCCTGTTCTCGGAATTGCCCCATGAACTTCGCAATTTGCCCTACTTGCTTCTCCAACTCGTCCACCTTTTTGTCCCTAGTTTGCATACCCTGCGCCATAGAAGTTAGTAATTGAAAAATCTGATCATTATCAATAGACGAACCTGATTTGTTTTGGGCAGGTTGTGCTTGAGGTTGTGTGGGTGCAAACGATTTTTTATAGAAACCCGGGGGTTGTTGCCTAAATGCACTTTGTTGTTGGCCTTGTTGGGGTTCTCTCCATTTGAAATTTGGATGATCTCTCCATCCCGGATTGTATGTATTAGAAAATAGACCATTCCTTGGTTGGTATTGATTCCCAAAACCCACGGCATTGAGGGTCTCCCACCCTCCGTTCTCAATCAATTGTGGGCACTTATTCGTGAGATGTCCTTGCATGGAGCACACAACACAAGCAGCCACATTTTGTACTTTTGGTCCTTCCACAACCTGAGAAAGAAGAGTAGTAAGGTTAGCCATTTGATTTTGAAGTTCAGAATGGCACTTACCTCATTCACTTGGTGTTGCCGTGGGGTGCTCCTTTGTCCAACACCTTCGTATTGTTAAGCATTCAACGCTCGATTAGCAATCAAAGTCTTTGCAGCCGTGGGGGTCTTATCCACCAAGGCTCCTCCCGCTAAGGCATCTAGCATTTGACGTTCAATTGGTAGAAGCCCTTCGCAGAAGTATTGTAGAAAAAGCTCCTCCTTCATTTAATGCTGTGGACATAAAGCAACAAGAGATTTAAAACGTTCATAATAAGTAGGAAATGATTCACCTTCATCTTGCTGAATTCCACCTATCCTTTTTCGTAAAAGAATAACTCGAGAAGTTGGGAAATTTTTTTCCAAGAAAGCCTGTTTCATGCTCTCCCAAGATGTGATAGTTCCGGGAGCTAATTCATACAACCAATCTTTCGCCTTTTCCAATAGAGAAAAGGGAAAGGCCTTCATCTTCAATATGCTCCCACCGACGTTGATGAGAGTCATGCTTGAACACACCACCTCGAACTCTTTCAAGTGCTTGTTGGGATCCTCCATGGACAACCCATGGTACTTTGGAATATGGTGCAGCAAGCTTGACTTCAACTCAAACTCTTCGGTCTTGCCTTGAGCAGCTGCGGGGTATTGGATGCATAGGGGTGCGGCATTGTCTAATCCTGAAGCGGAAAGCTCCTTGATTATTCGGTTGTCCGATGCCATGTCTTGCACTACTTCACCCACCCTTGTCGTGGGTTCTTCTTCCTCAAACTCAGATTCGGCCTTTGAATTTGAACTTGATTCACTAGGTTCTGGATTCTTCCTCTTTCGTCTCAACTCTTGCTCGAAATCGTCGTCAAAGTCCAAGATATGTTCACGAATCGGATGAGAACTCAGAGTCATAAACTAGTACCTAAAAACAAGAAAACAAAACAAGGTCAGAATCTGGAATCAATTAAAACAAAATAAAAGATCCAATGGATTAGCAACTTTGCTAATCCCCGGCAACGGCGCCAAAAATTTGATGCGAAATGTATAAGCACACAAATTAAACCCTCTTTTTATCAATTGTAGCAAAGTATGTAAGTAGGGATCATTCTAGGCCGGGGATTAGGAGGGATTGCTAAAACTTAAAACTGACTTAAAAACATAAAACAAAGTTTAAAATACTAAACTAGACTCAAAGAATGCAAAACTAAACTATAAAACACTAAAACAAACTCAAAAGACTCAAAACAAGCTAACACTCAAAACTGCCTAAAAACACAAACTGGGCAGATTTGGACTCTAAACACAATTTTGGACGAATTTTGGGTTTTCCTTGACTCAAAACATTTAAAAACACAATCTAAACAGATTTCAACTAGTTAGACACTCTAAAGTAAAAAGGGGTTTGGTTTTGGACGAAAATCTAAGTAAAATAAAACAAGAAAGACTTAAACAGATTTTAGACGAAATTGGGTGAATTAAATGAATGATTGGCTAGCTAGGAGGTTCTTCTCCACACATGTCACACTTGCATACAAAACGATTTCCAATTGCTTTTCAATAAACCATGAATTCCCAACGCCCCATATTAACTGTGAATTGCACTAATTAACCCTCAGATTTTCCTAAAGTTATTGAATTGGATGATTGCATACGACAACCCAAAGTATTCCTCACAAGTTCCCCACATGAATTGCATAATAGAGATACAAGCAAAGATCATTAAGTTCTATGAAAATCATAAGCATTGACGGGGCACTTGTTATTATGAATTGCATGAAACTTATGCCAAGAATTTGATTAACACGAATGTGATTAGCAACCTTTACTACTCTTGAATATAAGTTCATAACAATTAGGTGAAACTCCCTTATATCCTAGCATCAGATTTATGCATGAAAATTAAGCGTGCACTCTCAACCAACACACAAATCAGTTTTAATTCATATAGATAAGCAAATTGAATTCACAACTTATGAAACACAACTGAAAGTAATCAAATCATATAGCAAGCATGAACATGGTTTCGAATTCCCCCTAGCCAATGGGGGTTTAGTTCCTTATATGCACAAAGCAAAGATAAACAAATTTAGACATTAAAAACAAAAGAAAGAAAACACCTAGACGCTCCAACTTGAACAGTAAGCACGTCCACAAACTTTCCTCCTTCCTCTTTGTTGCGGCACAAGGCTTGGGAACAAGTTTTGGGGGTTATGTGTATGGAAGAATGGATGGGAGATGGTATGGTAGTGTTTAGGATGGATGGAAGGTGCGGTAAGGGGTGATTTAGGTCAGGAACTATGGAAAATTGGTGGTGATAGCTGCGGCAGAGAAGGGTGATGAATTTCTGGCCTGAATTGTGAACATGAGAGGTGGTGGTTCGGCCAAGGCTGAAATATAAATATATATAGGCACATAAAACCCTAGGAAAATCAGGTCAGGACTTGGACTTAGCATAAAATAAGGATTAGGGCCCAAACAATCAAAATCCAAAGGGGAAAAGGTATAGTAAAGTGCGGCAGATATGGAAAGGAAGGATAAGGCTTCTAGAATGCCTTGCAAGGCAAGGAAAAAGGGTTTCCTTGCCAAAATTGGTGTGGCAAAGGTCCTAAATCTGAAAGGGATTGGTTTTCTTGTGCAACAAGGATAGGAAATGAAGGGATAGGGCTTCTAGAATCCCACAAACCCAAGGAGATGCACGGCAAGGATAGGGAAATGTTCTAGAACCTTTCTTTGTGTCCAAAAATGCTTAGGAAACCTTCAATGTTACTGGAACTTAAGGCCATCTAGGTTTAGGAAAGATCAACCCAAAATAGGAAACTTTAGGCTTAACTTTTCTACTTTAAGTAGGAAACCTTGTTGGAGTAGGAATCCTCATTCTTCTAGGAATCCATCTTTGATTAGGAATCCTTCTTCAATTAGGACTCCTCACATCTTCAAATCTTCAATTTCGTCCATTCCTTTTGCTCCAAGCATGTGATATCCATTCCAAGCTCAATTTTGCTCCAAAAGGCTCCAAAATGCACTACTTTGCATACTTTGCCCTTAAAACCTGAAAACACAAGAAAATGGTTTAAAAGACTAACTTAAATAAGAAAACACAACGTAAATGCACAAGAACAAGCTCATTAAGTCGCATAAATATGCTCTTATCAGCAGTGGACAATCATCCGTTAATCAAGCCAAGAGTGCCCAAAATAGGTAACAAATTCAAAGTTATTTCATCCATCCTCATCCTATATTTTCCACAAGGTAATTATTTCATAACCTTCAAAACATTCCTTATAAATTGAGTTAATTGCCAAATAAATCACCCATTACACTAAAAAATTACCCAAAAGGCCGACCACTCTCTCTCCCAAGAGGGTCGGCCATGCTCTATATATTGAACCCCATTTTCTCTAAAAAGCTAAGTCCATACTCTTGCAAAACTTCAAAAACTCTCTAAACACTTTTCTCTCTAAATTCTAACTTTGACATCGGAGGTTCTTCGACAAAAGCCCCTCATTCATCGTGCGCGCAAGAGGCCTTTGGCCTTAACCAAAGGTGTTAATTGTTTTGTAGGTGCAATTTTGTCCAAGATCAAGGAGGAAGAAATTTGTATCCACAACAGGCTCTTCAGCCTCTTCTGGTGGTTGCTGATTATTTACGAGATCTTTTGATGAATTTATTTGACTTCTTAGCCGTAATATTTCACCCTTAGCAGATACCAATTCCTCTTCCAATTTTTTGCTTCTCTTCTCCAGACCCTTCCTTTCCTCGCCTAGTCTCATGACAAGATTATGGACATCTTCCATGTTTTCTTGGGCCTCTTTGGACGCAATCTTATGCTCTGTTAAGGAAATGTAAACCACATCTTTCTCATCTTCAAGCCTAGAAATTAGAGAATTAGCCCTCTCTATAACTTGGGAAAACACCATTGCATTTCGATTCATCTCATCCAATGCTTTGGTAGCCTCTTCCAGGTCTGTTTCAAGAGATTTCTAAGACTCATTGTCCTTCAAAATCTGTTTATCCAAAGCTTTAACTTCTTTTTTCAAAGAAGAAACTATTTCATTTTCTTCTTTTAAATCACTTAAAGCTCTTTCAACTTTTTTGTAGACATCAGCCAATTCCTCATGCAAGCTGTCACGTTTTTTTGCAACAACTATTAGTTCATGGGACAGAACTTGTAGCTCCTCATTTGTCTTCTTTATAAGTTCTTTCGCTGTAAAAAGCTCACCAACAACCGCATCACCACTTAACGTAGCCTTATCAAGGGTTATCTGCAGTGATTCCCTAACTCCAGTAAACTTGGCCCGAACCGAGATCTCAGCTTCAAGTTCCGTGTATAAAGTTTTTGACTGTTTTAATTGATTTTCCATATTGGAAGCTTCACTTCTTGATTTTGTAAGAGTTTCTTGAGTGCTCTGGAGTTCATGTTTCAAATTTGTTTCAATTTCCAGTTCTCTATCCATAAGTTCCTTCAAGTTTTCCTTCTCTCAGGTCAAATCAGAATTTAATTCTTTGTTTCTACTTGTGTCACTCAGAGCAAGTTCAAGCTTTTCCTTTAGCTGCTGAAATTTCTCTTCCCTTTCTTCCAAAAGCTTAGCATCCAAATCCGCCTTTCTACAGGAGGATGTTTTCAGATTATTGTATTCTTCCTGATCAAACTCCCTCTTCGAATCATCTAATTCAGAAGTGAAAGAACTAACTGTTGCATTCAATTCATCGAGATAGGAATTCTTCAATTCTAATTCCTTTTGATTTTTCAAGAGTTCATCTTTCAACATTTGACTATCTGAAAGTGCATTCGTTAGTTCATCCCTCATTTGATTGTAGGTAGCTTTCAAGTCCCTCAACTCCAAATCTTTTTCGGCAAGAGAAGAACTAAGACTTCGGACATTGGTTTCTTTATCCTTGATTTCTGAATTGAGCAAATCAATCATTCCCTGTAGGACTTCAATTGAGTTTTGCTTTTCCTTCAAATTCTCTTCAAGTACTACCTTTTCTTCTCCGGCCTTTGAAAGGTTGGTTTTAAAACTGTCAATTTGAGTTTTAAGCTCCTCAATCAATTTCTTTTCCCCATTTAACTCCTTTCATAAGCTTGCAATTGTACTTTTTACCAAATTCAATTGGCTTGTTAAAGAATTTTGCTCGTCCTTTGCCTTTGCTAGTTGCTTGCTCCGTTCTTCCTGTTCACCTAGTAAATTAGATTCATAGCTCTTCCCTAATGAAACAATAACAGCTTCCTTTTCTTTCAGCTTGGTCTTCATCTTTGCATTTTCAACCAAAGTAAATGTGGGTTAAATCAAACAAAGCATCTAATAGTATTTTTATGAACATAACCCAAAAGTAAAGGAGTATGATCTTTCGAGCTCAGAGACTCATACATTAACGGGTAGAGCTAAGTATGCATTTCTATAAAATAGAGAAACCAGGAAAGAAAAAGGGACCGTTAGAGTAGGGATCGTTTTCAAGGAAGCATTTAAGAACACAAGATTGGGAAACAAGATAAAAGACACATTACATTTTTTTGTACATTTTGAATTTCCTTTTCAAAGAGACTAGACTCCTATCAACATATGTGGTATGTCTGTGTTGTCTCAACATGTAAAGAAAATCTTTTTCTGTGGTATTGAATAGGGACTTACAAATTCGACTATGGCATCAGTGGCTTTCTTTTCTGACCGAATCAATGCGTACAGCACACCAAGGACACCAAAACTGAAAATACCAATACCATTCAGGAGAGACAAAACGGGATTTGGTGCTACATTTGTTTGAGGTGCTTCCTGTTCAATGAATAACTCACTTTAGAAAATTAAACCTTATAACAAACAATTAACAAAATAAAAAGGAAAGATATTAAATACAGATTTTTTTAGGGAGTCTTATAGACATTCGTAACTTCGTACCTCTGTGTTTTTACTCCCCTCTGGTGTCTTTAGCTCACTTTCTTCTGACAAAAAAAAGGAAATAAAGGAACTAATGCATAAACCGCATGAAATGAGATGGAAACTTGTTACAAAAGATAATAATTTATAGTAACACCAGTCCATGTTAAGAAAAGAACTAAAAATGTAGCACATTGTAAGAATCTTCGTAAAAAGAATAAATAAAGAGAAGGTTTAGTAAATACCCTAAACTACCTTTGAAATATTATTGCCTAATTAATAGGATCTGCACATATAGCCTAACTTTGCGCATTTCAAGGATATGAACTATGTTTTGTGAAACCCATTAGGCCCAAGCCCAGGAACCAAGCCCAGACCCAGACTTGAATCCAGCCCAACCTAGTCGGATCCCAATATCCCAGGCCACGTGTGAGCCTGCGCATGGGTGCGCGTGGGTGCCTACCTTGGTCGGCATGTGGAGCACATGTGCCTCCACCGGAGGTACTGTGCTCCGCCACCATCCACGGCGATGCCAACGACTTTTTCGGCCACCCAAAATGGCGTGTGGCGGTGCATGAGGGCCCGTGCGGCAGAGTGTGGGGGTACCCGAGGTCTCCCTTATGTTTTTTGATATCCTGAATCCATTTACGACGTTCTTTTCCAAAATTCAATCGTTTGAGTATGGTTTTATTAAGTAGACCCTTTATGTGCTTAGTATTTATTGTGATGTTTCAGTCTTCACTAGTTACATGGCTTTTCGACGGCAAATTATCTGTAAGTGGACCCCTTCCAAAATGCATAATTTTACTATTAGAAATGCATACATGCAAAACATGATTTAATGGTTACGTTTTATGAAACGTTTATGAGTAAATTATTTTTACTCTTTATGATATTTCAAGCTTTATCGAATTTACTTTCTTTGTGGTATATATGATGGATGACTATATACTATGAAGATGATTTAAGATATGATGTTTGAGCTACTAAGCTCTGTTGAGATATATATACTTATATTCTGGAAAGATTATGTTCAATGATTTTTGTGCTTATCTAGTGGTCACTATATTCTACCTACGGGCGTATGTTCTACCAAGAGGCGTATGATCTGCCTACGGGCGACTGACCTGCCTTCGAGTGATACTGATACCACTATTTAGCACCCTATATATGATCTATGTTTTATTGAAGATTTTATGGCATGCTAGGGTTTTCGGAAAACCTTTTTCTTATTATGCTATATGAGTTTTCTAAACCTGGGGGTTAGTACGTTGATGAATAATTATGTTAGTATTACTTATTTATCAACTTGGTCCACTCACCTTTTCTATTTTACGCCCCTCAGGACATAGAATCGAGGCGTACAATCCTGGTGTCAAGGCACTCCACATTGGCATCTTTGAGTCCTCTCGGTGTAGGACCCATTCCTTTGTTCATTCAATTTTATATTATTTCTCTTTAGTGTTTTAGATTAGTTGTATGCTCTGAACACATTCCTTATTTACATATACATTGTATTTAAATTTGTAACTCTTATTTATATTCATTGGTTCTCATGCATATTAGTATGGCTTCGTCACCTTTGAGTGTTGGCCAGCACGTGCTTACCCGGGTGTTTGGAGGATATTGGTGTCGAGCGTGTCATTATTGGCTTTTCATTTGTGCTTGGACATTTCTTTCAAGATCTCAATTGACATATCATCTATTTTGTTTAATTGGCACATCATTCATTTTAAATCCTTGGTCTTTGCCATGACAAAATGGGGGAGTAAAATTTTGTGTGTTTCTTACCTTTGCAAGCCTTTTACCAATGATGACTTTCACTTGTTCTTGTCAAGAGTTGTTCTTTTGCAGGAGTTGTTACTTGGTTGTTACTTGGTCTTCTTCTGTTGATTGATGTTCTCTTGAGTGTGGGTGTTGAGTGAAATTACTTATATGCTTGGGGTATTTTGTCAAGGAGAGCCAAAGGGGGAGATTGTGAAGTCTAAATATATTATTTGGCTTCCCTTGTCAAAAATTGTAAATGTTACCACACATGCTCATAATTTAGAGTTAGGATACAATGTTGATCTGGGATTTCTGTTGAGATTGAACTTGTCAAAGCACTAGCCTTATACACTACAAAAGGTTTGAATCATACATTTGCATTTGCATATCAGGCTTATTTTTCTAGATTCCTTTTGTTTAGTGCAGTTGTCTAGTAAAATTTTTTGTCTGTTATCCAGTTGTCAAGGCACACAAATTAAGATAGCCCACATGGGCCATCTGACGCTTTTTCCCAAAAATGGATTTTCAGCCCTAGATCTTTCCATATTGATTTTACACATGACACATGGCTTTTCATCCCCTCTCTTTGTCTGAAACTTACCCATCTTTATAAAGTCATTCTAGGGTTCATTTGTTGTTGGGATTTTGAGATTGGAAAAGTTTTTAGAGTTTCTTTTAATCTTCATCTAAGATCTCCTAGAAGCATCAAGCATATTTTTATGTGTAATGTTCTTCATTGAATATTTCTAAACCTATCTTTGAATTGCTTGCTTAAATTCATTTTATATGCTCATTTGTTTTGGGTAGGAGTTTTACACTTTTAGAAAAGAGTTGATTTTAGTTTTGAGCTACCTCTTGTGTTTTTACTTGAAAACCCTAGCTACAAAATCACACTTATGCATTAAATACCCACATCATTGCATATTAGGGTAGCATTGTTTTTGTGAATTTGATTTTTGTTTTAGGTCAAGTTTTTCCAAGTCTTAAATCTATGAACTGGCCTGTTTTGGATTCTCATCAGTTTCATTTTTCAAGTGTTTGACTGGTGAAACTGACTAGACATCGAATCTAGATTTGCATATCATTGTCATATCATCATATGCATAGTTTGTGTGTTGGTTTCGGTGCCACAAGGTGAAGAGTTCAAGAAGAGCTGTCATCTTGTGAAGACTGAAGACAACATTATTTCGGTGTCACAAGGTGAAGAGCTTAGGAGGAGTTGCCACTTCGTGAAGATAGAAGGAATCCATCTTGTGTAAGGAAAAATTGCACAAAGGTAAAACTGCTCTGTAGATAGGGATCTAGGAATTGAGCTTGTATGGTCTTTGTACGAACCTTTATTTACACTAGTGGATTGAAAAGTGGATGCAATTGCTAAAGTGCAGTGGATGGCTGTAATATTTTGTGTATGTCTGTAAACAAAAAGCTTTCAACCTTTTATGTTTAAATTGTACAAATTAAACATTTCATCTATAAACCTTTTCCAACCTCTATGTTCTCAATAATGTTAATGTTTTGTGACACCATTTTTACATCTTTCAAACACAATGTTTAATACAGTTTTCAAACTCTGGCAACGCGCATGTGACCCATTCTAGTATATATTAAATGACATGAGGTTTAGATGCACACTATCAACTAAAAATTGACGAAATTAAAACTTGAGCAATGAAGTTTCCATAATTCCAACCCTTGACACCCTTGAGTTTTATTTCCAACTCGCATCTATGTTGATTTTCACTCATAGAGATAATAGGGAGAACCAAGTAGGCAGGAGATACTTGTCTGCTCTGCACTTTTCTTCTCATTGGTATTCTTCGTTGTGGTCGTTCTAAATTCACATCAAGCCATTATAAAGGATAAGGTAACGTGCACAGGTGAAAGGGGCCTTGTATTCAATTAAACGTTAATGATCTGAGTTAGTTAGACAGCTTTACTATATATGTTCAGGTGAGGGGGCCTTGTGCATCCATCTTGGATTCAACTACAAAACTAATGTCTGATCTGGTACAAGTATGTGCATACGTCACACTTCCCACAACAGATACATAAAGAATACTCTACCTCTTTCTCTCTCATTTCGCAAGTCCAAAAGATCTTTCTAGAAAAACAAGTCTCTCACCAAAAGCCTCTAGCACCACTTGACCTTGCACGCTATAAAACCCAACACCAATTCCCAACATTAAGAAAAAAAATTAAATTAAATTAAATTAAATCATAAGAAGCATAGATTTGAGGAATGAATTTCCGTATATATTCATCAAACAAGAATTACAGCTTTATACAAAGACTACCACAATATTATCATATTCTATTGCCTACAAATAAGGCTAATTAACTACTAAACTGGAAAGTAAATATCAATACATGATATTGACTACTTAATATGAGATTCTTTCCTTAACACTCCCCCTTAAGTTGGAGTGTATGTTAATGACACTCAACTTGCTGAGCAACGTTTCAAACTGTGTCAAACTCAAGGTTTGGTGAATATGTCAGCTAGCTGATCACCTGTAAGATCCCACATAGCCTAGGGGTGAGGATCCTGTAAGCCTTATATCTACATTCTCATCTCTACCTAACACGAGGCCTTATGAGAGCTCACTGGCTTCGGGTTCCATCGGAACTCTGAAGTTAAGCGAGTTTGTGCGAGAGCAATCCCATGACCCACTGGGAAGTTCTCGTGTGTGTTCCCAAAAACAAAACCGTGAGGGCATGGTCGAGGCCCAAAGCAAACAATATCGTGCTATGACGAAGTCGAGCCCGGGATGTGGTGGGGCCCAGGCTGAGATGTGACAATTTAGTATCAGAGTCAATCCTTGGCCAGAAGTGTGTCGACGAGGATGTCGGGGCCCTGAGGGGGTGGATTGTAAGATCCCACATCGCCCAGAGGTAAGGATCCTGTAAGCCTTATATGTATATTCTCATCTCTACCTAGCACAAGGCATTTTAGGAGCTCACTGACTTCGGGTTCCATTAGAACTCCGAAGTTAAGCGAGTTCGCACGAGAGCAATCCCATGATGGATGGCCCACTGGGGAAGTTCTCGTGTGAGTTCCCAGAAACAAAACCGTGAAGGCATGGTTGGGGCCCAAAGCAGACAATATCGTGCTACGGTGGAGTCGAGCCCGGGAAGTGGTGGGGGCTTGGGCCAGGATGTGACATCACCTGTCTGTATGTAGACCATACATAGCATTCATTTTTTAACCTTCTCTTACACTAGGTGACAATCAATCTCTATGTGCTTTGTTCGTTCATGAAAAATAGGATTCGAAGCAATGTGTATGGCAGCTTTATTGTCGCAAAACAATGAAACCGGTTGTTGATGATTTACTTCTAAATCCTTTAAGATATTTCTCAGCCATGTAATCTCACAACACATAGTGGCCATAGAACGGTATTCGGCTTCTGTGCTAGAGCGAGATACAGTGGTTTGCTTCTTAATTTTCCACGAAATTGGTGTTTGGCCAAGTAAAACACAATAACTCTTTATCGATCGTCTAGTATCTCTGCATCTGGCCCAATCAGCATCACAAAATGCTCGTAACTATAATGATCCTGTGGAAGGAAAGAAAATACCTTGCCCAAATGCTTGTTTAATGTATTTAAGTACTTTGTGTGCGGCATCAAGATATGGTTGCCGTGGCTTCTCCATGAACTGACTCAACACATGCACGGAATAGGCCAAGTCTGGTCTTGTGATTATCAAATATATCAATCTACCCACAAGTCTTCTATATGAGGAAGGATCATCCAATAATCGTCCTTCCATTTGCATAAGGGCCAAATTTTGGACTAAGGGAAACCAAAAAGGTTTCACGCCTAGAAACCCAACATCGTCCAATATCTCTTGCGCATATTTGTGTTAACATAGAGTGATTCCATGTTTTGATCATGCAGCTTTTATCCCTAAGAAGTACTTGAGCACCCCCTAAGTCTTTCAGTTTAAAATGGTGAAAGAGAAACTATTTAGTCTCTTCAATATCACGTAAATTGTTCCTTACCAATATTACGTCGTCAAAATAGACTAATAAAGTAGTGAATGAATGTACCTTGATGACTTCGGACGAACAATGAGTAATCAAACAAAGATTGTTGAAACCCAGCAGCCTTGAGAGCATTGGATAATTTCATTTTGAGAGCATTGGATAATTTCATGAACCATTGACTTCAAGCTTGCTTTAAACCATAAAGAGATTTGTGCAACTTGCACACTCGAGTCTCCTCCTTTCATCTGAAACCAGGAGGCAAAGTCATGTAAACATCCTCTTCCAAGTCACCATTTAAAAAGGCATTGTTCATATCTAGTTGATAAAGGTGCCAGCCTTGCAAGGTTGCAACACTGAGGAGGACACGGACTGTGGTCAACTTAGCCACGGGAGCAATAATGTCACAGTAATCAACCCCCTTGATTTGATTGTACCCATTTGCAACAAGATGTGCCTTGTACCGTTCAATCGTCCTATCGGGTTTAAGCTTCACCTTATAAACCTATTTGCATCCAATGGGGCATTTATAAGGAAAGAGAGGCATGAACGTCCATGTGTTATTTGCATGGAGGGCAGCAAGCTCATGTTGCATGGCAGCACTCCAATGTGGATCTTGGACAGCCTGGGAAAAGCTAGTATGTTCCTTAAAAAGGGTGAGATTAGCAATATAGGTTTTATATATGGATGAGAGATAATCATATGATAAGTAAGTAGCGAAAGGATGAGAGGAACCTGACTTAACCACGTTCGTTGAAGATGCGGGAGCAGTCCTTGAATAGAGATAGGCCTCAACATGAAAGTCCTGCAAAAAGGATGAGGGTTTTGTGAGTCAGGTACCGTGGTGGGGTGGGGGTAGGGTAGGTGTAGGTGAAGGTGTTGTGGGATCTGGAGGTAAAGGCATAGGAGGTGGGGTGGTGGTATCATCTAAAAGAAGATTGGAAAGTCAAGGTAGGGAAGGCATGTGAGATGAGGTATGAGTAGCATCTGAAGGTGAAGGGGAATCATTGGAGGAAGAGAAAGGTTAAGACGGTGCAAAGGAAGGATCCATGTCAAAGTGGAGCAAGGAGGCCGGAGGGTGAGGTGGTGTGAAATCCTATTCTTGGATTTCACTGTTATAATCTACGTATTTGTATTATTGAGATTTTAGATTATTTTTCGAGAATTTATTTTAATTTGTTTGAAATTAGATTTTAATTAAATTAGTTTCGAAGTTTGAAGTTTGGAAATTATTTATTTAAAATTCGTAGACCGTTCGAGGTCACAAGTTATATTTTCGAATAGAGATCTATCTCACGAACGCATAGGCGAAAACCGTTCATGAAATGAAGTTATAACGAGGAAATTAGAGACGTTTTAGTTGTTGGGAAATAAGTAAAGAAAGGTTTAGAAGCTACCAAGTGGCATTAAAGGAGAGGGGAGAAAGGAGAGATTGCGAGAGAGAAAATGGGGGGTCAGCCCAATCAGAAAAAAAGAAAGGAGAGGAAAGGGAAAGAAGAGAGAAGAGAAAAAGGGGAAACCAGGTTTCCCTCAACCCATGACTTGACCCGATGGATTCTCCGATCTTCGGCCACCTTGGACGACAAGGTTAATGTCAAAATGACCCTTACCACAAGGCCAACCGATCCCTCTTCCATTTTCACGTGAAAATTGGGTGGAAATTTGGTGAATTTTGGGTAAAACCGTACAAAAGGAGGCGCATGGGTTGGGTTCCATTCCGCCACGATTGGAAGCTACCTCTTCCAATTACCATCATCAATAAACTCCCCTCAATCCCACGAACAAAGCCCAAGCAGTGGTGGAGGCGTCGGAGCTCGTATGGAAGCTGAATCGAAGCACACCATTTTCTGCGGTTCTGGTAGGTTCATGGAGAATTGAGGCTTTTCCCGGCCAAATTGGCCTTAGACATAGGTATGAAAATTACTCCCCTCATTGAGATCTACATGAATTAGTTGAATATTCCTGTGAGTCAGGGCAGCCAACCGCCACGTGCAGCAGTGCATGGGCTGAGACCCCACCTGCCCTTTTTAGACTAATTTAGATACACTGATTCCTTATGTGAAGTCTAATTGACGAAATCTCATCATATGGCTATAGATTTGATGGAGACCTCCACTTAGACATTATATGAATCGACAATCTGACCGTTGGATCGTCACCAAACTCTAATACATTATAGAACATAATATTTTAGGATAACTGGACTGACGGATTGGGAATCCGATGTACGGATCTTTCCGAATTAGATTTCTAAGTTGGTAAAATTAATTATTAACCGCCACCTAATTCTAGCAATTGGCAGAGATCCAACCGTCAGATCATGAGGAGATTTTAGTATGTTGTTCTTTGAGCATAATGTGGACCTTAGGAAGTTACGGATCTAGATTATGATATACGGATCTTCCGAATTAAATTGCTAGGGTGTGGACCCCACCGTTGACTTTTGGTCAACAGGTCTTGAAACATTTGAATTACTAAAATGAGTATTTCTAGAGACTCGGTGAAGCTTTGCGGACTTGTCTCGGTGAATGCCTTTAATATATGTGATATGGTGATTACTCGATTCTTAATATTAATATCCTTTGTGGATATGATATAGTTTTATAGACTGTTTTATGTTAAAATGTGATTTGATTCATGGATTGGGAATATTTTTGGAAAAGTGATTCGAATTGCATATTGAAATGTTTTGTAAACTGAGGGCTAGTAGTGGAATATGACCCTGCTTAGTTAATCCGCATTGGGGGGTCACTGCCTATTTGATTACTTTTTTAAGTGTGACTCTGGTTGATTAGTCCGCATTGGGGGGGTCACTAATGGTCTTGCTTGGTTAATCCGCATTGGGGGACCCTACTATATATGGTCCTGCTTGGTTAATCCCCATTGGGGGACCCCACAATATATGGTCCTGCTTGGTTAATCCGCATTAGGGGGTCACTAGTGGTCCTACTTGGTATATCCGCGATGGGAGCCCATACGTATTCTAGAGGTGATGATGATTAGATGTACTTGATACATTTGATTGGCGCTCATATTTAGTCTGGTTCCGTTGAGTGGTCCAGAACCTGAGGTTGTTGGATTTCGTAGAGTGGTCTGGAATCCCCTTATTTGGAGAAGTAGGCTTGGCCTAACAGTGTCATTCTAGCCTTAGTTTTATATATATTTGTGACAATGGTTTCGAGAATCTTGTGAATTGATTTAGAAAAGATGTTGGACGTTTGGGTGACTCTTTCAAGATTTTCTACGATTCGATTATGATTTCATCAAGTATGAATTTAGAAAATATGGGAATGATTGTCATTATTTAGACCAGATTAATTATTTAATGTGGCTAGAGAATGGTTTTGTGCTTCATCGGTTCTTAAATATGACGTATGTTGTGAATGGCGATGTGATGAGACATAATGATTTATATGTTGGATGGAAGAGAAATCATGATTTTCATGGGGGTTTGTTATGTAGCCTGAGTCCAGGAATGGCATGTTGTCATGTTATAATAAATGATGGAGGAATGCTATACTTTTCTGCCTGAATTGAGTGTGGTAAACCTTTGATTTTGTGAGTGGTGAACTACGAATTGCTTGATCCCTATTGAGGGTACGTAGGCAGTCTAACGAGAAGGTTAGATGCAGCCATAAAGCTTACGAAAAATTATTATGAAATTTGAACCTTGAATGGTTTTATTTCATGTCCTAGAAGCAGGGTATATTGGATGTTCAAGTATTTAGTGACGTCACATGTCGATTCTGGGCATAGGTCAGGGTCGGGGCGTGACAAGTGGAGTGGTAGAGGTAGCGGAATTGTCTAAGTGTTGATAAGGGAATTGGTCTTCGAAGAAAATGACATCCGTGGAGACAAACACTTTTTGAAGATGAAGATCAAATAGTTTATAACCTTTTTTACCATAAAGATACCCTAGAAAAATACAACAACATGCACGGGGATCAAACTTGGAAGGTTTTTTTGCATGAGTGGATGCAAAACAAAGACAACCAAAGACCCGTAAGTGTGAGTATTTGGATGGTTTGTGAAACAACTTTTCATATGGTGTTTGCCCGTGAAAAATGGGTGTTGGTGTACGATTAATGAGATATGCCGAAGCAAGTATGGCGTCCTCCCAAAATCGTTGAGGTAAATGAGCTTGGAAAAGCAATGCTCAAGCAACATTGAGCAAATGTCTATGCTTGCATTCAGCGAAACCATTTTGTTGTGGTGTGTTGACACAACTAGTTTAATGGATGATTCCTTGTAAGGCATAAAACGTGTCAAGTTTAAACTTGGGACCATTATTACGACGAACTATTTTGACTTTAGTGTTGAATTGTGTTTCAACCATATGAATGAATTGGGTGAGAAGCCCCTTGGTGTCAAACTTATGTTTCATCAAATAGATCCATGTGCACCTAGTATGATCATAAAAAATGGTATGGAAGTACTTGGCACCGGAAAGAGAAGACACTTGGTAACCACCCCAAATGTCAACATGTATCAATTCGAAACATGATGTGGTAGACATGGAAATTTAAGAAAAAGGCAACCTTGTTTGTTGCCAAAGGGCAAATTAAACATTGACTTGTCTCACAAGTTTTATTGGAGACAAAAGGAAATAACATGGTAACTTTATGGGATGGGTGTCCTAGGCGTTGATGCCAAAAGCTGGAAGGAGTGGTTTGGACGGCATTGCATGTTCCTTTCTTTGGTGGATCAAGGTAGTAGAGTCCATCCCATTCATTTCCCGTCCCAATCATCTTCCCTAAGCATAAAGTCCTGTATGACACAAAAATGGTGTAAGAAAATCGCAATGGAAAGGGAATCATAGGTTAATTTGCTAATAGAGATTAAATTTAACTTAAAAAGTGGAACACAAAGGACGTTGTCAAGAATTAGGTCAGGAGAAAAAATAACTTGGCCAACATGAGTGACCGCGGCAAGGGATCCATTCGGTAACTCAACGGTGTGATTTTTAATGGGCCTTGAGGACGTACGGGAGTCGAGGCTGCAAACTATGTGATCTGTAACACCACTATCCAAGATCCAAACATTATTCTTGCCATGATGTATGAATGAAAAAGCTTTACCTGAAAGGTCTTTGTGATGTGAGGAATTACCAACGTGATTAACAAAATATGATTTGTGCTTATTCAACAT